TGTTTGTACTTTTACTTTTTACTCTTAAAGTAAAGGTCATCCTTTGAAAGTTCTGACTGAATTCAGTCAGCAAATTTTAATATCTGAATTWGATTCTGCAGGAGGGGATACTAGATAACTCATTTCCTTGTTACATCTCTAACTCCATTGCAATGCCAGGCCAAAGTCATGCAGCTTTGATCTCCCAGGTATGTAAAAAATTTTCAAATTAACACAACATTGTTCTGCTGCTAAGTATGATYGTTGAGAAATACTATCAGAAACATTTTCTAGTCCCTTCAGGAATCACAGATACTACGCTCTGAGCAAGATGATGAGTACCAGAGGTCCCTATTGGCCGACCAAGAGAAGGTTTGGTTTTTTTTTGTTGTTTTTGTTTTTCATTGGTTTTGTAATCAACTTACCTGTTCTCCTTTCATTTACATGTCCTCATGTCACTCCTCCAGTGCCAGATTGTTACATTTGCCCAGAAATTCAGCTTTTATTTTAACAGAAATTGTACACATTTAAGTTAGCATAACATATTGGCTGGCTGGCTTTTTCCTCCTTAAGCCAGCTTTATACATATCCCTTCATGTGTGTGTGCTCTGTCATCCACCACAAAAGGTTCCCATGCAGCAGTCCAAACTATTTGTGCAGGTGCTGTCTGTGCATCACCTTTTGTTTTAAAATTTAAAACCTGTATTATCTTGTCTGACTTCCTGTGTGGCTCATCTGGTCACAAGTAGACTCAATTCATATATCTGATGGACAACAGAGGGGAAGTTGTGCATCATGCTGCAGTGCAACGGAGTTGGTAAGAATTACCACACTGACTACAAAAGCTTGTATTTGTGRTGGAACAAAGGATGCATAGATGAATGAATCTGTGTGACTGAAGGGTCACAATGTGCTACACCTGCTTGTGGTCATCAGTTGATTCACTTGGGATTCCATCTACATATACTACCTGGACTTCAGACGCGTCGTTTGTCACTGCTATGTATGAGCTGCACTGCAGGGCTTGTGTGCAACGCCTGCCTGACTTGTTTTCCATTGTGGATTCTCTGCTCTCCCTGCCATTGCTAGAAACCTAATTGGCTTATACTCTGATCACAACCTCAGACTYTTTCTGGTTTTGGTTCCTGTTTCACCCCTTTGGACTGTTTATGTTGGATCAGCTGCACTTCAGTTCAACACTCCTGCCTAGGAGGAGATTTTAATTGTACTGTTGATGACTTGGACAGAAACCATTTAGAGCCTAACATTCAATCAAGAAAGATTCTAAAACGTATAATTGAAARYTATGAGTTAATTGATGTTTGGCGCTCTAAGCATGGTAKAAGTAAACAATATTCCTGGACCCACTGTAAAGAAAATCACATTAGCCTGGCAAGACTTGATAGACTGTATTGTTTTGAGCATCATGTGCAAATGTTTAAATCTTGTTTTTTATGTCCTGTTGGGTTTTCTGACCATATTATGTTAATAGGTAATGTTTTTTTGAATAGAATTAAACCAAAGAGTGCAAATTGGCATTTGAACACTGTTTTATTGAATGATGGTTTGTTTAAGGATGGTTTTTCTTTTTCTTTTGGAAACAGTGGAAATTTAAGAAATCTCAATTTGCTTCTTTACAACAATGGTGGGATATTGGAAAAATAAAAATTCAGCAGTTTTGTACCCAGTACACTTCCAATGTCACAAGAGAGATTGTGCAATCTATAAAAGACCTAGAGATTGACATTGTGGACTTACAGAATTTGAATGAGTCCACTAGAAATCAAAATAATTTTCAGATTCTAAAAAAGAAAAAGACTGCCTTGGCTGATCTGCTTAGGGGTTAGAGCACAGGGGGCTTTAGTACATTCTTGTTTCCAGAATGTAACTGAAATGGATGCTCCTTCCAAATTTTTCTTCAGTTTGGAGAAGAAAAATGGCCAGAGTCGACTCATTCACAGTGTCCGAGCAGAAGATGGAAGTGAACTGATGGAAACACKTGCAATACGAAAAAGGGCTGTGGACTTTTTTTCAAAGCTTTATGCCTCTGAATACAGAGAAGATGGTGAACTGACAGGAAAGTTCTTAACAAATTTGCCAAAGATTTCAGCACAAGATAACACAGACTTGGAACCTTTTTTGACCATTCAGGAACTGCAAGAAGCTCTTTCGAGCATGGATAATGGAAAAACTCCAGGATTAGATGGTCTACCTGTGGAGTTTTACAGAACCTTTTGGACTTTGTTGTCAGAAGATTTATTGGAGGTTCTGAATGACAGCATTCTGAGGGGAAAATTACCACTAAGCTGTCGGAGAGCTGTGCTCACTCTTCTCCCGAAAAAAGGCGATCTGTGTGAACTAAAAAACTGGAGACCAGTTAGTTTGTTGGTTATAAAATATTCTCTAAAGCTTTGGCGAACAGACTGAAGAAAGTGATTGGTCAAGATATACATGTCGACCAATCATATTGTATCCCTGGCAGATTTATAAGGGACAACATTTCCCTAATTAGAGACATTTTGGACATCTCTAGTTCATTGGATGTAAAATTTGGTCTGATTTCCCTTGACCAAGAAAAGGCATTTGATCGGGTGGAGCACCAATACTTATGGAACACTTTTGAAGCCTTTGGCTTCTCCCCTGGTTTCATTGCCATGATTAAAACACTATTGTGACAATGAAAGTGTTTTAAAGGTCAATGGTGGTTTAAGTGCTCCGTTTTCTGTAAAAAGGGGGATTCGACAAGGCTGCGCAATGTCAGGCATGCTTTTTTCAATTAGTATTGAACCATTGTTATGTCAGATCAGAAAAGAGTTAAATGGAGTAAAATTTAAAAAACACGTCATCATTGCATCTCTCTGCATATGCAGATGATATATCCCATTCTCCGTTCGTTAGTTTGGCGGCCGGCCAGGTGGGTTAGCGGCATGAACATGGCCTGCGAAAGCACCATGTTCTGGTATATGGTCGGTTGGAATCCCGGTGCGTGTTCAAAGACTCTGGCCAATATTGACACCCGTGGTTCGCTTGTTAGACACACCGCTATGCAAAGTCTAACTTGGCCGACTGGCCGATCTATGTGTGTCAGACTGCGTAAAGCACATTCAGTAGAAATAGTGTGTCATGTGTAACATCGTTGTGGCACGAAGGCACACAATGTGTGTCAAAAAAGAAGAATTAAAAAAATAGAATGTGCTTCGGAGTGATAATCCCAGTCCCAAAAGAAAGAGAAATCAAATCAGAGATGCTGTATCAGTTCACGCCAATGATCTGTGCTCCATCACGTGATTCACAAGGTCACGAGTTGGAGCCGTTCTCGGGGGGAACACTGTGGCGTGGACATATCGGTGCTCATCTTCGCCACCTTGAAGTGGATTTTTATATACTTTTTAAAAAAATCTTATTAGCCACATAGCATAATTGCCTAAGTCATTTTTGAACGTTTTCGGAAAACAAGAAAAAACTATTTTTTCAGAAAGCATATTGGAATTTTTTATTAATATTGTAACAGAAAGTTCAATGAGATGTGTGAACANGCATATTGGAATTTTTTATTAATATTGTAACAGAAAGTTCAATGAGATGTGTGAACAAGTGTCCAAAAAAAGTAAGACACAACACTGATTGCATAACAAATAAAACTGAGGCAGAAAATGCATTGACTCTGTCTACAGACCTAACCAACGTTGGTTTACTCTCCTAAACATAACCAAGTTGTGTTAATTTTCTAACATTTAGCAAGTTGTTTTAAATTTTAACATTAAAAAGGTTTTTGTACCTGTCTAACTTTAATCAAAGTCCAGCTCAGGTGATGTGTTATCTTAGAGTTACTGTTTGAGTTCAATTTTTTTTGTTTAGTTTTATTATTGATTATTGTTTGAAATTAATATTTTTGCAAATAAAATAAGATTTTTTCTTCTGCTACCTTTCATTTTATTTTATTTGTATTGTTTTTGTCGTATGTAAATGTTTTTTTTTAATAATAATAATAAACAGTACTCAAATATTCATTTATTAAACACATAATATAAAATATAAGCCAGGTTTCGTTTGACGTTTGTTAGATGAATACATTGCAGAAATAGATGGAAGAAAGCGGAGTTAACAGAAGCAGAACTCAAGCTAAGACTAGCTAAATGCTAAAAGTAACTAAAGATTAATTAATAGCTAATTTTGCAAAATGCTAGCTAAAAGTAGAACAGGTATAGCTAGAAGCTAAAAGTGGGAAAAGGCTAGCTAAATGTGAGTCATTGTTAACAAAATATAAACAAAAAAACTGAAGGGTGAACTGAAAGTAGCATTAGGCTAGTTCAAAGCTAAGGTCTCAATAGGCTAGAGACTAAAATGAGCAAAAGACTAGCTAAACCTAAATTTAAAATATAAAAAGTAAAAGACTAGCTAAGAGTTGGGAGTAGCAGAACGGCAGTTAAAAGTAACATTAGCAAAAAAGTTGCAAAAAGCCGAATCAGCAAAAAGAGCTAAACGTTTTGTGATTGCCCTCGGCAGAATGTTTGGTGCAGGAGCTCGTTGGACTGACAGGAGAGGCTGTGAACAGAAACATCAACTCTTTTCCTAATTTGTTTCAGAATACATCTGCACATGAACAAAAGGTGCTGCTGAAAAATAAGAACAGAAACACAGACCTTCATCCTGAGGTTTCCACCAAACAAGTTCATCAACACAAAACAGAAGAACCTGCAGGTCTCTCAACCACACAACAGCCAAAAACAGAAATAAATACTCAGACAGGGATTTCAAGCCCAACATTTATTTGTTGAATTATAAAAAATAACCATATAAAAAGACTGGAAGCCCGAGATTATTTACAATCTTTTTTTTTCTAAAATGAGGTCCCTCTTCTGAGTCAATTTTTTTAAATCACAGGGTATTTATTCCCGATATGTTTCATTTAAAAGACATAGTCCTTTTCTCTGTTTTGACAAAAATTCTATACGTACATACATACATATGCATACATACTTACATACATGTATATAGATATCTATAAAAGCAAAAACAAGAAATCATTCAAGTATCAAAATACAGACTGCTAAAATCATGTACATCATCATCATCATCCTCATCGTCAGATTCATGACCTGATCCGTGGCTATGTGCAAAAGCAGAACAGGACCGGGCCGATGGCTGAAGGTGCCGACGGCAGCTGAAGACAGCGTGTTATCGTACCGGCTGGACAACATGTACAACTGGTGAACTAAAATGATCCAAGTACCCAGAAACACACACTCTCTCACACACAAACACACACACACAGTGGCTGACAATCAAAACAATATTGTTAACAGTCAACACACTTGACATTAGCTGGAGAAACATGCTTTGCACGACTGTTCGGTGGTGCAGCTACAAATCTAAAGTCGTACCGGCCTGCACGGCAGGTTTTGGTGATTATTGTCAAAACGAACAGAACAGAGGAGGAGAGGGATCCACAGTGAACCAAACAAGATCCAGTTCCAGCATTAGGACACACTGCCCCACAAAGTAATAAAATAAAATAAAATCTAAAACCTAGAAAGAAAACTAATCTAATAAAAACCTGGGATTTTCACGATTAGAAAGTCTTTGTAGTGTAGAGTTTGGTTTAAGGAGTTCCTCCCAGGCAGGACTGAGTTGGGACAGAGAAAGGAGCGTGTCGCTACAGTGTGAGGTCTCTAAAGGCTCGTGGTCCTCGTTCGTACCGCTTCCTCTTTCGCTGCACCGAGAACCTGCGAGCGAGCTGCGTTTCCTCAAACGGTAAACACTAACCCCTTCTGGGAGGGAGGCCACACGTAAGCAAACGCACAACAAATAATTTACACCCCGCCGTCGCGTCGCACCAAGACGCCGTCGCTCTCTCGTGGGCGGGAGGCCTGATGAAGGGGAGGCAGGTGGGGGTGTGCAGGGTGGTTTCCCCCTCTGGTTGCAGATTTGATCTAATCAATGGACTGATCTGCTGCGTGGGAACTGGGTCACTTTTCCAACAACAACAACAACAACAACAACAACAATAAAAAAATAAAATAAAAAAACACACAGTCCCCGGGTGGTTCCTGCCCTGCGTTACTGAACAGGAGCCTCAGTGTTCAGCTACAAGGAGACACACAGACACGCACACAAAACACGGAGATTAAAATGGAGTAAAAAATAGTCAACATCTACATGATGATGAAGCTTTACCAGCAGGGGTGACATATAAACTCGGAGACATTAAAGAAACAGAAAGGCAGAGCTGACAGGATGAAGGCATTAGTTGCATTAAAAGAAGAAATAAATGGCAGCACAGAGGGAGTACACATATTCCTACACACACAGAGGTTTTGGTAAAGGGGAGTTCTTGCCACTTTAAAAGGCAGCATGGTTGAAAAACTGATGGCAAAAAGTATTTGCACTTATACAGATTTCATTTGTTTTTACATTTTGTCACACTTTATCAAAAAAAATCAGACAAAGATAACCTGAGTAAATATAAAGTTTTCAAATCATGATTTCATTTTTTAGAGAAAAAAAAAAACCCTCACCTGGTACTGTGTGCAAAAGTTATTGCTCCCTAAACCTAATAATGTTTGTGATGTCTGCATTTCTGATCATGGTCCTGCTGTAAACACGTGCGCTCGAGCTTAAAGAGCCTGTGACATGCATATCCATTAAATACAAAAAGTAAAAGATAAAATCTTTATATTTAAGAAACATGGTATAATACACTCGATTTTATCCACTTTGTCACACAACTGGCATATTTCTTTTGATGTTGGCTCAGCCAAAGTGAAACAGGAAGTGACATCAAAGAGGAATTCTGTAGTAAAGGAGCTCCCTGACATTTGTTTATTGAAACGATATTTAAGTCTAAATAATTTAAAGAAACATCAGCTTCTTCTCTACAGTCTGTTATTAGCTGTTGTTGCATTGCCCTGTTCACAAGCAGACATTCCCCTTTGACAAACTTCTTGTTACTTCACATGTTAATGTCTCAGCAACTGTTCTTCTCTGCGATGTGAAAATTTGTTTGCAATATGTTCTCAATGTTAGCTTTCCAAAAGTGTATTCCTGTTTATTACAAAAAAATTGATATCACAGGAACTTTAAGGTTGTGGTCTGATGGCCGAACATTGTCCTACAGGGTTTTCTGGTTGAGAGCAGAAGTGATGGTTCCATCGACTGCAGCAGCCCCAGACCATCACAGCACCACCGCCATGTTTGACTGCAGGCGTGGTGGTTATTTTATGAAATGCAGTGTTAGTTTTACGACAAATACAACGAGTTTTGGGGATCATCAGGATGGTTTTGGCTGACGTGAGCTCGATCACATTGGACTTTAGGCGTTGTGGGTTCTTAGGAACCTCCTGAACGAGTCAATGTGCTCTTGGAGTAATTTTGGTCGGCTGTTTACTCCTGGTTCACCACGTTGCCATGTTTTCTCTATTTATATGTAACGGCTATTTTGAAGTTATTTCTAGATTCTATGGGCTTTGCAGTAATCAGGCTTGATTTTGATGGATGAAACTGTCCTCAGCTTAACAAATAATAATAAAAAAGGGATTTACTTACGATTTAACATGGGAGGATAATTACTTTTTCACTCAGGGCCAGGTTGGTTTTGATAGTTTTATTGAAAATTTGTATTTATCAAGATTATTTTTGTTTGATACTACCATTTTTATGATATAAAACCTTTAAGTGTGACAAAAAAGCAAAATTAGAAGAAATCTGTAATTCCATGACCTTTACCCTCTGTAGCCGTGTTTCCATCCAATTTTAATTCAAATTTTGAGCAAATTTTTAAAATTAAAGCTCTGTATATGTTATTCAACACATTAATTGTTCCACACTTGGTCTATTGTGTTGAAGTATGGGGGAAAGCATGTAAGACTATTACAAATCCTGTTTTTGTTTAGCAGAAAATGGCTATAAGAGTTATCACTCGAAAAAACTACCATTATCCATCTAATATATTATTTTGTAAACTGAAATTATTGAAATTCTATGCTTTAGCTGATTATAATATTTTGTTAGTTATGTATAAAGCACACCGAAACATATTACCTTCAAACATTCAGATAAACTTTGTGAAGAGAGAGAGAGAGCTGTTATAATCTACAGGGAATAGCGATGTTCATGAAACCTAAATTATGAACCTGTTTGAAAGAACGGTGCAGCTCAATCCAAGAAGTCAGATTGTGGAATAATTTGGAAGATGTTAAAAATGCCACATCAATGTATATGTTTAAGAGAATGATAAAGATTAGATTGTTAAAAAAATATGAAATGGTCAAATACAGTATGTAGCCATTCAATCTGGTGTTCTAGAAAGATTCAATGTTTTGTTTTAACTGAAGATTATTATAGTTTGAATTTACACTTGAGAAAAAAAGGGGCAGATATTATAAGATTTTTTTCTTCTCTCTGCCGCCTTTCATTTCATTTTATTTGTACTTTCTTTTTTATTGTCCTTACAATTTAGTTTTTTATGGAATGAATAAGGTTAGAAAAAAATCGTAAAAAAGGAGAAAATGAAGAAATGCGAATCAGACGTGTTTCCATCAACCGGCTTGAAGCGAATCAATTACGTCAGACGCATGCGTGTATTAAACAGGAAGTAAAAGTCGCATCTCAGGAAAATGGAGAGAAGTTATCAGGAACGTGTTGCTACTGTCAGGAAAGTTGTAATTATTTTGTCATTTTAACTAGTTCTGCTGATGTTACTGCTGTCTGGAGACGTAGAGAAAGAAATGCAGTTCTCTTCAAGTTATGGGAATAACAGAAGATGCCGACAGCAGGAGGAGGGTCCTGCTGCCAGTCGCTCTGGTACCGGTACTGGTACCATTCAGACAGCAGGAACAAGCTGATCAACATGTGAGGTAAATGTTCGCTACGTCAGAACAGATTCGACAAATGTGTTTCCATCCCTCCTTTTGCGCATTAACTCTTTTTCGAAAAAACCAAAAACCACCTCAAGCAAGCGTATCAACTTTTATGTGAATTAGAGGAAGATTTTTCGAATCGTGCCGTTTCCATTCACCTTTTCTGATGCGATACTTCAAAATGCACATTAAAAAAAAACCTTGATGGAAACACGGCTTGTGTCATTTTAAACCCGTCTAACAAAAATCACATGCACACAGAAATAACAACAATAAAACCTATAAAGGTTGTCACAGTGCTAAGATCTTAGCCTGCTTTGGCTTCAAGCAGGCAGCTAATAAGAGATCTCCCTCTCCTATTTAAGCCCTGCGTGTAATCTCTAAAACAGCTGCGTCCCACTGCACAGAGACGGTCTGCTGAGGTCAGACTGATGCATAGAGAGACAGGAGCAGCTCCACAGCTTCCACTGGACAACCTGAGCATCCAGGCACAGGACGTGTGCAGCGGGTTGGCTCACGGACGTGGTTAATCAGCGGGGGGTTTCTCAGTGCTCGGAGGAGTTAGGAGGTGAAAGGACAGAGAGAAAAGCCTTCAGAGTGGCCGGCGCCTGATGCAGCGGAAAAGAAAGGGCAGATTCACAGAGAGTCAAAACAGCTGAGCAGAATGCAAAGTGAGGGGAGGAGGAGTGTACTGGGACTCGGCTAAAAGGAAGGTGACGAGGTGGGAGAGTGGTGGTTAACAAGGAGCACCAGCTGCTGGTCACAGGTTCAGTCAGACACAATAGAGGGAGTGGGTCCAGAGCAAAGGAGGCTGAATCACAGTGGAAGGCACACAGGAAGGAGGAAAAGTGAGAGCAGACCCAGGAGGAGGAGGGAGGAGGGGTCCGTTCAGAATATGGTAGTCTCGTACTTAGTGCTGATGGTGCGCTTGGACTCCTTGGGGTCCATGAGCCATGCGGCGCTGGCCTGGGACTGAGACCCCGCCTCTTGGTCCACCATGTCCCCCTTTAGGGAGACAGACGACATCAGAAGCTCTGCCTGCAGCTGTCTCCAAACCAGTTTAATTACACTGCACGCTGCTCATCTCACACTAATCAAAGAGGATTTTCAGATTTAATCCACCTGCAAACAGCCGGCGGGGTGCTGACATTTATACAAAATGATATATTCTGACTGCGAGAAACAAAAACTACAATCAGGTGGGTGATTTCTATGACTGCGATGTCATTCTGTTTCCATAAAACCTGTTTCGTTGTTTCTTCTCATCCAAACTTTTACATTGAGTTTTTTTTTGTTTTTTTTTTACCCTAAAGCAGATCCACTGACTCACTCAGATCAAGTCAGGCTGACCTGACTGCAGCTGTTCACCTTCTGAACAAACATGTGGAGCCTCCAGACTGATTATGGAATCAGACAGATACGAACGTGTTGCTAATTTAAGACACTCTAACAAACTCCACCTTGAAAATGAGGGGTAATAACCTCCTTCAGTTAGTTTTCTGTCAATCAGGGAGTGTTGCTGATGCTGTGGCACATCAAAAAGCCATAAATTTTCTGCAGTACTGTACATTTTGCAATTACATACAGTATATATATATATATATATATATATATATACATACACAGTATGATTTTTGTTTTATCTATGGGGGGAGAATTATTCAGCAAAATTTATTTGGAGTTTACAACTTTAAAAATAACTTTATACAAAATCAAAAGCTCACGTGATTGTGGCTGGGGATGACTCTCAGCTACTAACACATCAAACTTATCAATTTAGCTAAAAATCTGTAAAATTAATAGAGTTATGGACATTTTTTTGTTTGTTAGAGTCAATTAGCAACTGGTTTAAATCGTGTGGACTCCAAAAGTTATTCAATTAGATACAACTGGTACTTTGACAGTCTTAATTAAATTATATTTCATATATAAAGTTGTTAGTACAATACCTAAACTTCTCCAGATTTATTTTCACATCATGAAAAAAAATGCACCAAAATCATCTTTATGATAATTTGTTAGCTCGTCAGATTAAGCTCATTAAGTATCTATTAGTTGTGCCGCTTTCAGACATTAAACTTTTTTGTTTTTCTGCACTCAGTGTGCCGAGTGCAGAACAGCTCAGTTATAAATGCTTATAAATGTTATTATGCTCAGTTATAAAACAGGAAGCAGCTGGCACAACTCAAACTTTACTGATCCTATGGCTAAGCTGCCACTAGAGGGCAGCAAAGACAAACAATTCAAATTAACCAGCTCTCGTTGGTTAAGCATAGCAAGGCTGACAATTAGTAAAAAATACAATAAACATATTAAAACATAAATAACCAATTATGTATTTATTTTTACAAAAACAAAATCAGATAGTAAAGCGAAGGGATGGAAAGAAAGAAAAACCAGGTCGTCATTGTAAATAAGAATTGTTTCTCAACCTGTTAAAGGTTTATAAAGAAGTAGAAAATAAGAGAAACAGCAACCACAGATAGTTAAATAATAGAAAAGAAAACAAAAGAAACAAAAAGAACCCAGACATCAGCAACATAAAGTGGGTGGAGTCTCATCAGGTTGCAGGTAAGTGTGTGCCTGAGTGGGACACTACGAGCCAAAAGTTTGGACACACTTCCACCTTCAGTGTTTTGATGTTTTGACCTACGTTGTGGGTTGGGGTCGTCCAGACTATGAAGGAACACATAGGGAACCATGTTGGGAACAAACCAGAATACACTTTGGATTGTTCTAGGGCTGCAACAACGAATCAATAAAATCAATTAAAAATCGATTATTAAAAGCATTGGCAACGAATCTCATTATAGATTCGTTGTGTCGTGCGATTTATGCGTCCCTCGCCATGTTGCCGAGCCGTTTACATCACCCGGGTGGGGGGGGGCACCTAAATTCACCTCTCGGGCCAAAAATATAAAACTCTCCAGTTTTTTCTGACTGAAGCTCAAATTTATTTGTTGAGCAAAAAAAAAAGTTCAGGACGAATGAAAAAATAAATAAAAAAAAGATGCGAGCAGCAGGTCTGCCTCAGTGTGTGTGTGTGTGTGTGTGTGTGTGTGTGNTCACTGCACAGTTCTATGACTTTTCTGATTATTTTTAGGGCTGCAACAATGAATCGCATTTGCAACAAATTTATCGATTTGTTGTCGTGCGATTTATACGGGCCATAAAACACTGTTTCAGTCAGACAGAACTAACAACAAGGAATCAAAAAGTAAAGAATTAAAGATTATAAATGTTAAATGTAAATAAAATCTAATTATAATAAATTAATAATAGTTTTACATCTAAAAATCATATTTTATTCTTTTAATCTATTTTCCTCATTCAGCAACCTATTACATTTCTGTTATGTTTCATGTATGAGAAATACACATTTTTTTTCAGTCAGTATTTAATACAGCTGGCAAAATAAATTGTTAAAATATTTACGATGTGCTTCTGTTTTTTTAATTCAGGAGATTATAAAAAAAATCCTTCATGTTATGAAAAGACCCTCTTGATTCAAGAGAAAACTCCAGTTTTTTAAGAAAATGGCTGCTTATCAATTAATTGTTGGTCAATCTATAAGAAAAATCAACTTCAGATTAATTCATTAATCAATAACTTGCATCCTTAATTTATACAGGAATGACATTAAGTTATATCTACTCATTCATGTAATTAAGCGTTTTAATGATTTGGCCGAACAATTGAAAAAAATAATTGACAGATTAATCGATTTTTAAAATGATCGTTAGTTGGAGCCCCAGATTGTTCAAGATGCGCAGCTTTTGCCTTTTGGTTTTTACATGGTTCCTGACAGTATGTGTTCCTTCATGGTGTGGATGACTGCAGGGGTGAAGGAAACACAGATATATGACACCTTACTGTTGAGCAGCAGCTGCACATCCTGTATGTGATGCATCCCTGATGTGGAGTCCACGAAGTCAGGATAAAATAAGTTCATTTATGTGTTTTTTAAGGTGTGGTTCCATATAAGGTACTGGTCCAACTCACCCCTGACTTGCGAACACTGCCCCGTGGCTTGGGTACAGGTCGACTGGACCTGGTCTCGATGACCTCTGAGCCGGCTCCCCCGGGGAGATTCTGCTGCTGTTTGGTCCTCTGGGCCTGCAGAGCCAGCTGATAGGCCACCTCAAAAGCCTGGCCCAGGGTTAGTATAATCTCATAGGTCAGGTTCTACAGGTAGACAGACAGCAGAGACTCTTTCAACTCTAAAGATAGGCTAAGTAGCGTAACACGGAGAAGACAACTTTATCCTCTGTTGTGTTTCAGTCTGACAGCTTCCTGATGTCAACAGGTACCTTAGATTATATGAGAGGACACACTTGTGAGATTTAAAACAACTTCAGGGTCTAACACAAAACTCCTCTGACCCCTTTGTCTTTTTTTATTTCTGCACTAAAAACCAATCAGCTCTGAGTTTTTATTAGGTGGTGAGGACTGGTTCTTCTGGCCCATGAGAGCAGTAAAATGGTCAATACGGATAAAAATATTGATTCAAACTGCTGCAGAGCTAACTGATCTTCTTTCACAGCCACCTGACGACACGCTGCACTGTGAGGACGACTCAAACTGCCAGGTTACAAACATAATCCTTAGACTTCTGCTCACTAAGGTAGATGAGCTGTGGTTGCCACATTGATTTGGGTAAAATCAGCTGCTCGTGTGATGGTTAGTTTAAGAGTTTCACGAGCTGTTTTGCCAACAGACAAACAGGCAAAGGAAAAACATCATTATTTAAACGCAGATCATTATGCTACATTCACACCAAACGCGTTTTGAGCGGCCAAAAAGCGCAAAACGTCTCTCACTGGACGCTCTATGTTCAGACTGAACGCACTAGTGTTCAGACCAGAACAAGCAGCGGCAGCAGCGAGGTGTGGGAGGAGCGTGTCCTCGGCGGGTGAAATAAAGATAAAGTAAAAGAAAATGGCTTTGATTTTTTTACTAAAAAGCAAGTGAACGTTGCGCACAGCAGATAATTAACTCACCAGATGATTTAGAGGCAATTTGTTCGGTTAGTTTCATCACTCCAGAAGCTGCCAGCTGACGGACTTTTTTCTCTCTCTTTTTTTTTTTTTTTTTTTTTTTGGTCCCGAGCAGCTGATCCACATCGGTGCTGATAAATCCTGCCAAAAAATCCAACTGCACACGGTCGATTTCAGGTAAAGATCTCCAGTCCGTCTGTTTAGGTTTTCAGTGGGAGATGCGTCGAGCGGCGAAAAGTTCAGATATTTGAACTCTGGCGGCGGCTCGGGCGGCGGCGGCTTCTGCAGCACCGCATGCGCGGAAAACGCTCTGCGCCCCTTCCGCCTTCCTTGCGCGCCGCTCATAACGCGCGTGACGCGACGCACAACCCCTTGAGGCGCGTTCGCCATAGACTTTGCATGTAAACTGGCAGCTCCTGCCGCTCAAAACGCTCTCGGTGTGAACGAGCCTTTAGTTGTACGGTTCTAAATTACTTCCTCATTAGCAAACAAAGAAAAGCGTCAAAACTGCAAAGAGGAATTAAAACATTAAAGAAGAAATAAACAGCTTCCTGGATCCAGTTTCTCTTTTAATAATAATAATAAGAAGAAGAATTAGTGTCTAATGTTTACGACCAGCCTGCATTCAGATACAAATACAGAAAAAAGCATTTTAAAGTGCCAGTGACATGCTTATCCTTCAAATACAAAAAGTCCAAGAAAACATATTTATATTTAAGAAAATTAGCATAATAAACATGATTTTACCCATTTTGTCTCATAACTGGTATATTTTCTCTTGAATTTGGCTCAGCAAAGTGAAACAGGAAGTGACATCAAAGGGGAACTCTTTAAGAAAAGAAACTCTAGTCTTTGTTTATTGAAACAGTCTTATTTAAACTCTTCTTCATCTCTGATGGTGACTCAAAATAATCTAAAGAGACATCAGATTCTTCTCTACAGTCTGTTAATAATGCAGCAGCACTCTGTTCACATGCAGACATTCCCCTTTGACATCACTTCCTGTTTCTTCACATGCAAATATCTCAACAACTCTTCATCTTAACGGCGTGAAATTTGTTTTGCAACATGTTTTTAACATTCTCTTTCCAAAAACACTTTCACATTTATGACAAAAATTTGATGTCACAGGGACTTTAATGTCAGAAGAAAGAAATTAGTTGGAGCTCTGCATGTAAGCTGAACGAACAGACAGATTAAACTCTGAGAAATGTGTCCTTACCACATCCACTGTGCTGAAGACGTGGCAGTAATGGTGGCTGGTCTGAAGGTCTTTAGTGATGTAGGCAAACGTACACAGGTCCTCTGGGTCCTGGGCTGCACAGGATATGTTACGGATCTCGTGCTCGGCAATGATGTTCTGCACCAGAAACAACAGCAGGCGGTGACACAAACCAAGTAAAAAAAAGTGCAACCTAAACATTCCCACCACTCGGAGCGTCGCGTACCTTGTTGGCGGCGTCGATGAACTTCACACCCTTGTAGGTGATTGACAGGACGATGGTCGGGACTTTTCTCATTTGCTCTGTGGACCTCTGGAAGAAAAACCACAGCATGGGGATTTACTGAAACTGAAGGTCTGTGTGTGAGCCCTGATACAAGAGAGACTCGGTCCATACCCGCATTTTGGCACAAGCGTCCTGCGTGGACTCTGTGCCCCTCAGATCCTTAATGAGCATGGAGCCAAGGTACTAAACAAAGAGGGAACACACTGGTCAGTGATGGTGAATATCACTAATTGAGGTAAAAGAGGAACAGGAAAGTTCTCGGTGTACATTGGCTTCGTATGCGCAGGACTCAAATATGAGTTTCTCAGGCTGGTGATGCCAGTTCTGGACCGGGGTGTACGGTGCTGCTAAACTTGGCGGACGCAGGGTCAAACGGGGCTCTTGATACACCTCGTCATAATGATCCTGAGAGAATAACCAGAATGATTAAAAAAAAAAAACCCTGAGAGATGAGCTCACCCAGACACACAGATAAACATACTTGTCTATGCCGTCCGCTGCAGTATCTCTGGCTAACGTCGTACTCTGTTTCTTGCACTTTCTTTCTGCTTGGCTCTCCTACAGGCAGCAGGGGGTCCATGGAGCGGCCTGTGTAGTCCATCTGACTGAGAGGAGAGGAGGTCTGGGATCCAGGCAGGTCCTGGAACTGCACACATAAAACCAGAGTTAGATTTTAATGTTAGGGGACGTTTTTTTTTTTTTTTTTGATTCGTTGGCTATTTCTCATTCAAATTTCTTTATTGCCTAAAAAAAGGTTATCATCATGACAAAGTGTGGATCCGAGGAAGTCCTCACCCTGATCTGAGACAAGCGAGGAGGTTTGACTGGAGGCTCCTCATAGGGCCGTTCTGCTAAGGAGGCAATGATGCGTTTTCTGTGACCGAGCAAGGTAATTTTTAACACCTGGGAGGAAGAGAAGAACAACATCTTCTGAACACATGGAGAAGCATGTGAGACATTACAGAGTTAAAAAAAAAAGGCTTTAAAAAGTCAAGCAATTATAAAACAACTTCTTTAAAGTTTTACAACAAACACTTGTGTGAGTATGTTAAAACATTCAGCTCATTCAGGAGATGGGTGTTGTGACTTTTGTAGTTGTCTTTGTAATTTTTACATGAATTTTTTTATCTTATTTACAAATAATTTCCCCCAAATCTACATCAGTATCTCCTCAGTTCATTCAAAAAACCATTGTAATTTTCTAAAGTTATTTTAACAAACATTATCTTTTTCCTCTTCTTATGCTACTTTTAGCTTTTATCTATGGTTCTGCTGCTTTAAGATCTTTCAGCTTTTAGCTTCTAGCTAGTCTTTAGATAGTTTTAGCTTAGCATTTATCTGTTTTTATGCCAACATTTTACTACATTTGGCTTTTATTTAGCCTTTTGCTACTTTTAGTTAAATTTTTACTTTTATCTAGTCTTTTCCTACCATTAGCTTCTAGCTACTGTTAGGCTACTTTTAATTTTTAGCTATGGTTCTGCTGCTTTTAGTATTGAGCTTTTTTTAGCTTTTAGCTTCTAGCTTGTCTTTAGATATTTTTAGCCTAACATTTATCTGTATTTATGCCATCATTCTACTACGTTTGGCTTTTAACTAGTCATTTGCTAACATTACGTTTCCAACTGTTTTACTACTTTAAGCTAAAGTTTTGATGTTTTAGTTACGTTTTTCTTTTTTCTTGTCTTTTGCAACCATTAGCTTCTAGCTACTGTTTTGCTGCCTTTAGCTTTTATCTAGTGTTCAGCTTTTTCTAGTTTTAACATATTCGTTTTAGCTTCTTCAGCAAGTGTATCAAAGTCATTCAGTACTCAGTGTTTTCTCTCATTTTAAGTAATCCTATAGTTGAGCATCTTTTTAAAACCAAAAAAGAAAAAGTAATACTTTCTTTAGGAGAACTCAACAACACAGGGAAATAAAATGTTGTTTAGTAAGACTTTGAAGTTGTGTGCAGGGTTTGTTTTTGCACATCATTGAATGGTTTCCCAAAATTAACTCTTCCTCCTCCTATAATCATGTTTTGGGACCAACTTCTTTTTTCTCATATAAAATGTCAAACTGACATTTTGAATAAACTCGAATTTGATCCTTTCCCCACCACTCCTCACAGTCCACGTTAACGCCGCTGTGACTCACATTGACGATCTCCAGCTCCCACAGGTTCTTCACACAGTCCAGAGTGCGGTAGCCGCTGGACAGGAAGTTGGGCAGATACTCGTGGAGACCCAGGTTCTCCAGCCAGGAGGACAGAGAGCTGCTGTTGTCACATCCCAGAGCTTTCACCTGAGGGACAACATTTCATCCTCCATTAGAACTGCTACAACAATCAGACAACTCACTTTGTGCCACTCATTTTCTTCTCCTTAATTGAAAATAAAAAGTTGTCACAGACAAATGGTGACATCGTCGATAGATGTTCCTGGTGTTATTCAATGTAAAAAAAATATTCTGTACTTCAGTCTTCAAATAAAATGATCCCAAAATAAACATTAGTTTCACATAAACCCATAACCTTAGATATATTCAGATGTGATTGTGAACTCATGTAAAAAATATAAAAATGCTGCAGGTTTGTGTGAAAACATGTAGCTAAAAGCCTAGCATTCCTTGACAGAGTGGATATTACCCTCCACCCTCCATGCCAAAGTTTTAAACTAAAATAGTCTTATGCTGACGTTGGACTGTGTTTAGCTGTTTTGGTTAAAATCAGATAAAAAGGAGTCTGCATTGTCTGTCCTGTTCAGTGGACCAATTTGACACTGGTTTTGTATCACTGGGTCACATGACCTAAAAGGTGACATTTGGTGATTTTTTACTCACAGCTACTACCCCGCTACCTGTAAAACTGGATTATAGCTAATTAAGGTTGAGTAATGTCTCTTAGCTGTGGCAGACATCTTGAATGAAATTTAAAAGTTTATCAGTAATAGACGTACATCCAATGATTTCTTTGTCTCTTTTCCAAGTCTCATTAAAATCTGTCCAATGATTCATGAGATATTTTGCTAACAATAAAGACAAATTACATACAAAAATCTTATTTGCGTCAGTGATGTGCAAGTTCCCATACAATGGTAACATTTGTGCTCTGCATGAGAAACCCCCAAGTGAAGCAGCGGGAGCTACTGAATGTTAGCACCCAGGGAGAAGCTGGCAAATAAGTGCCTTGCTCAACAGGGGGAATCAAACCTATGACTTGCAGGTCCCAAATCGTCTGCCCCGCCTTTCCACCCCAGCCTGCTCACATTTCAGCTGGTCACACTGATAACTGTTAGGTCAGATTTATTTTACGAGTGGAAAGAGATTAAAAAAAAAGATGGAAGTAATTCTAGTTTTAAGATTCTACCATTAAAAAGTCAGCAAAGTGTCTTCAGATTAGAAACATGGTGTTCAGCGAAGCGGGCACCGGTGATTAATCACCTTGGGGAACGAGCGAGCTGCATGAAGGATCTTCTTTCTGTGGCTTGGATCTGTGATTCCGATGTCCCTCAGGTCTTGGTCCTCCATCACGTTGCCTCCCTACAGAATAAAACACAAGGATCATTGTTAGTGTCCAACAGAGAATATCATCCAATAAAAAAACTTTAGGAGAACTTTGAGACAATACACAGAGCGGCTCAGTAAATCTACTCAAAGGCAGAGTCCACTAAGTACATATGTAATGAAATCATCTCTGCAAATACAAACCAGACTCCTTTAAATCCTGGATACATTTGTTTGGTTATGTTCTGGTTTTTATAGAGGTCTCCATAGAAAGATAACTTGCATGATAATTTGGCCGTAGTTTTTTTTTTTTTACACACAAATGTCCTTCCTGATGCAACCAGAGGTCACCGAGCTACCACAGCTCACATGTGGACTGGAGGCTGCCATCTAGGGCAGGGGTTCCCAAACTTTCACATGCCATGGTCCCCTAAACGCTTCTTCCAGGGACCTCCCTTGCAAACCCACAATCAATGCTCCAAATAATGTAAAGAAACACCGACTTTTAGAATGTTTTCCTCACTTTTATTCACTATTCAATAATTATTACATTGGTTTAGTATGAGAATTGTATTAACTGACAAGTTTTAAACACTGTATTATATTTCCACATAAAAAAACACCTTTTAAGCAAACTGTTAACGATTAAAACAGAACAAACGAAATCAAACCTCTCAAGTTCTCTTAAAATTTCAATGTAATATTATAAATTACATTTTAAAATAATGATAGAAAAAGTGATTTAATTTTGTGATAATGATTTAAAACTTTGAAAAACACTGACCTAGGACAGTGGGTTCCAATCTTGGTCCTCAAGGCTCACTATCCTGCTTTAACACACCTGAATCGTGTAAAGGAGTGATTAACAGGCTTCTGAAGAATCTGAAGACCGGACAATGAGCAGAGAAACAACTAAAGCATGCAGGATAGTAGGCCTTGAGGACAAGGGTTGGGAGCCATTGATCTAGAGTTCTCTGGAAAGTTAATGACTGCGGGGTTAAGGGTCTTGCTCAAGGGCTCTGAATGGGGTAGATGAGGGTGGTGGCAGGTGAGGATGCTTCACCTTTCCCATCCAAACAGTTTTAACAGTCAGGGGATTTGAATTGGTGACTTTATGATCTCAGGCTCGCCTTCTCTAACCCCTGCCAACATGACTGCTGTAAGACGACTGCATTAAGCATCGCCTAAATGAGACCTGAGTGTGGAAGAGGAGATAAATGAAGCTCAAATGAGTCTTTGGTTACACAAAATATCACATCTGAGACAGCTAACGGAGAAGAGAGAAAGAAGCCATAAATCAATGTCTGGGCTGCAGGGAGGTCAGTAATACGAGGCGAAGGAGCCGAGGACATGTAGGAGTGGACATAGTTTATTTTAGTGTCATGTTTTGCCAATTTCAAGCATTGACAGGCAACAATAAATTATTCTCTATAAAGTCATCAACCGATTGGTGAGAAGTCAGGTTGTTTGAGAAGGTTGTATGCCATAATCCTCAGCTGTGTGTGGACAAGGTCAGCAACTCAATCTCACCTGGCATCATGATGTACCTCTGGAACAAACCGTGGATAACTCTTCAATATGAACCTAGGGTTTATGGTCCATGTGCACTTATGCAAACAGCACTAATGGGACAGAGGACATGCTGCCTGTAGGTCAAAGCTAAAAACCTGCTTTTTATGCAGAGGTGATGGATGCAAACGAGTCAGATTAGGGGCCGCGGTGCACTTGGCGTGATGCTGTCGGCTGAATAACAATTTGGAATGCAGCTCTTTAACCCTCCTGCTGTCCTTGGACCAAAAATGACCCCCAAAGCCTCAGTTTTAAACCTGCACTGAAGGGCAGCAGGAGGGTTAAAGAAGCCAAATTCTAAATGCAAACTGCTTAAAGGAAAACTGCAGATGAATGACGTAAAACTTGCACTCAAACTTTCCAAAAGCTGTATCAATAGCAGGCTCTGGCGCTCCACGTTACTGGTTCCAGCTCCCATCAGGACGCACCTTCTTAATGCCTGGCTCTGAACCGACAGCATAAAGGCCATTATCTGTGAGCAGCAACGCGCTGATCGCTGCCTCTCTGGATTAGTGCTGTACCAAACGATTATTTTCTAATCGATTAATCTAACGATTATTTTTTCGATTAATCGATTATTCTAACAACAAATCTATAAGTTATTTTGATGTGAGTGCACTGGAAATTTAAAATGTTTTCATCAAATTAACAAGAACAGTTCTTTAATATTGTAATATTTTCTGTAATAGTTTTTTCATGGACACAAAATATGCACTCTGGAGTCAATTCTTTAACAAAAAAAGCTTAAAAGATTTAACATCAATATAAAATCTCAACCAAAGCATTTAAAATTCAACTAAAAGAAATGTAGTGCAAGATGTTAACAAGCTAACAAATGAACTAAATCATGCAAAATTCAAGTCACTCTGGAAAAACTATAATAAACATTTATTTATTATTTTTTATTTAACATATTTCTCAATATATAAAAATTAACTAATATCAAGACAACATCCAACTATTTGTATTGTAACATCAGTTGTGTAACTTGAAACTGTTGAAAACAACAAGACTGTTTTGTCTTATTACACAAATTAAAATCCAGCTCCACGTGTTTCTATTGATGTCATTTCCCCACTAGAAAAATGTGTGATGGAGGTCCATGGAAGACAAATAAGTTTAAATCAAATAAACAAAAGAGGGTGCAGTTAAAATTAATAAAAGGTATTTAAGCTACGTTTTGAACATCCAAAACACGTCCAACACTTGTTGGCTGCTTGTGCTCTTTAGGTCAGACGTGTGTCGGGAAGCTCCTCTGCTGTTTGAACCGTCTGGAACCGTCTGATGGGGGAACGTGGCTCGACCTAACACCGGTCTCTGTTTAATGGTGGATGAAATAAAGAAAGTGGCAGTACTTTATTTACTTTGAGCAAGCGAACGTCGTGCTCATAAGATAATTAATCCAGCAGATAATTCAGAGGCGGTCTGTTCGGTAAATTTTACTCCAGGAGCTGCGAGVCTTGTTTTCAAGCTTCAGACTGAACTGAAGCAGCTGCTGACGTCATTACGTTCTTGCGCGATGCTGCGTTCAGGACAAGCATGAAAAACTTACCACTCTTATGCCAATACGGTCGCAATGATGCGTTTAGGTACCGAAATGGAATTGCATGAACATTCACGTGGTGGTTATGTAATTGGAATTGCATGAACATTCACGTGGTGGTTATGTAATACAGATAATCGATAATAAAAAATTTACATAATCGACGTCATCGATCATTTCAACTAATCGGTTCAGCCCTACTCTGGATTATCAAGACTGTGGGTAGCTGGATGGATAATAGCCCTTTAACAGCGCATGGATGATTGCATTACTGTCTCTGGAGATTAACCGATAAATGACTCAGTAGGGGGGAGGGGGGGATACGGTATAGCTTTACAAACTGGACTTACTCATTTCCTAGCTTATATTTAGATTTTTCCCCCCACTGTGCAACTGATATGTTTACATAAAGCTACTTAAGAGCTTGTGTGTTTTAAAACTTTTCTTTTTTGGTTACTGTGGATTTTACAGGGTAAAAATAGAATTCTCCACATCAAACCACCAGTGAATAGCTGGATCAGGTACCTCATGGTAGAAGGAGGACTAATCCTACAAAACATTCAGGAAACATTTTTTGGTCTTATTGTGGACAGAATAATGCTTCTACACAACCATGTTTATCAACATCAGTGGATATAAAACTGGGACAGGTACTGAAACAGATGTTCACTGGTCATTGGACAAAAGATTAAGTATAACCTGTGGACCTATTGTTCAGTTCATAGGAGAGGGAGACTGACCACCCACACTTTAATAAAGTACCAATTTAAAAAAATAGACTGTGAAAGCATAATGAAAACATTACTCTGATTTAGCCACTGACATGATAGAGACAAGCTAAGCCCGATGTGGACCGATACATGTCTATGGATGATATTGCATCATATTGACTGCAATGTGATGATGACGACGACGACAATAATAATAATAATAATAATGAATTCTACTTATAGGGCACTTTAAATTTGTAAATCTCAAAGTGCTATAATGCTGCACTGATTATTCAAAACAATCGATAAAGAAAATTAGTTTAATCAAAATCGTATCATGATTTCTGATAGAGAAATACTGTATCGTCATCCAAAAAAACAGATACAATATTGTGTCGTGATAAAGCTGCTGATTTACACCCACAATGCAATGTCGAAAACTCTGGTCCCAAACGCTTGCGTTAAGTAAAAAAAAAAAAAAATCAGTACAACAAGGCTAAACAAGCAGCTCCACTCAGGATTAAAAGCACAGAAAAACACCTGATCATTCATTAGGGCTGGGTGATATGGCTGAAAAACGTGTCATGATTTAAGCGTTTCATATCTATCAATATTGATAATTGATTGGTTTTTTGGTTTCACCTATTTGAAATGAGGACCAGGAGAAAAAAAGGCTGATTAATACTTTCAGATGTGACCTTTCCTCTTTTTCTTCTAGAGCTGTTGCACTCATTTTCTCCTTTCACTCCACGCTGTTCCTGTTATTTTGAAGCAGTTAGGAGGCATGGTGGCGCATGTTACTCAACAAGCTGTTGCTAGCTTATCAAAGAGTGAGTGAGTTAGTCGATGCCACCAACCTTTCTTAACTGAGAGGTCGAGAGGATAAAGCCTTTCCTCTGCCTATATTCCCCAGAATGCTGTGCAGTTCTGGATCAGAGTTCTGTGAAATGATCAACATTCTATTGGACTACTGATATTGATCATGTGTCTATCATGATATACATTGTTATTAATTTAATGTTCAGCCCTAGTTCTGCACATCTAATAACTAACAACCCAGAGTTAAAGTTTGCCCTGCTGTACAGGACATGGTAAGCTGTCACAGAATACACAACTTTATTTTTAATTTATCTGCCAATGTCTATGAAATGGACATTAACACACTGGTGCCGCCGGACAACAGTGAAATCAATGAATCCATTCATTAAGCTCTTTGTGTGTGAAGCCATTACTGGATTTTTCTGCAGGGTTTGGTGGCATCGGCTCGTCTAACCTCTTTACAATTATCTCATGGCGACGTAAACACACCAGAGATAAAAGATTTAAAGAGAAGCTGGAATGATTGTAACACAAAAAGACAAAAGCAAAGTTGTTCAGACTGATGTTTGTTCAGCTTATGGGTAGATTTTAGATTAAAACCAAATTCTGTTGCTTTGAACAACTTATTGTTTCTGACTTGGCCAATAAGACTGAATGTACTCTCCCTTTCTACCCAGACTCATAAAAGCTATCTACCGACCAAACAGTTTCTCAATAGAGATGCACGATACCAGTTTTTCCTCACATCGAATACGACGACTTCAGTTTGGGTACTCACTGATACAGAGTACTTACTGAGTACAATACACAGTGAATATAAAAACTTACTTTTTATTAGAACCTGGTACTAAACCAGATACATATCTGATGTTTGTCAAAGTGAACCTCAGTCTGAACGGTCATGTTGCATTTCACCATATTTATGTCTGTGAGGTGGGGGTACACTGATAGATCCAATAATAATGGTACTAACCTCGAGTCATGCAGTTTAAATCTTGTAGCTCCACACGTTTTCAGCTACAGAACAGAAGTCCAGTTGCTTTGTCTGTTTTTTTTTTATTACTTTTTTTATTATTATTTTATTTTGACAATCCACAGAAACATCTGGTATTAACGTTGAAGGACCATGTCGGTACTAATGTTCTGGATCGATACTTTAGTTGGTTTTGATTCCAGCACGTCGTTGTGACTCCACAAGTCTTCAGCTACAGAACAGAAGTCCAGTTGCTTCTTCTTTTTCTTTAAATTTTCCATGTCCTGGATGACTGGGAATTCACAGAAACATGAAAGTAACTGTGTCGCACCATGTCGATACTAAAGTGGATTGATATTTTAGTCAGTTTTACTTCCATCACGTCACGTCGCTCTCGTTCCATAAATACACGCTACACTGGAGCAGCCAACCAGAGGCAGGTTAAAATGTAAACAATGAACTAAAACAAACATGTCAGAAAATTATTTAACTGACTCTGATTGCACAAGAACTTCAGAATCAACATGCTAACATGTAGCATCCACGGGTAGCGACCTGTTTACTCCTTACAGTGAGCTGAATGTGTTGTCCCTTCATTTCCTAGGCATGCATGTCACATTGACGGCATAAAGAACTCATACTGGAGTCATTAGAGGTTGCATTTAAAATGTGAACATCCACGCAAAAACATAGTATTGTTCCAGGTATTGGGGCATTTTGAACGAGTACAAATACTTGTAAAAACGTTTGTATTGGACCCGATACGGGTATCTGTGCATCCCTAGTTCCCAAACAGATCGTACACCAGGCTGGCTTTGTCAGACAAAACAATCTGTCATTAAGCAAAGTCACGCAGGGGAGAAATAAATACAGAAAGAAAACAGGAGAGATATTTTGGTTTCAACAAGTATTACTCATCAGAAGCAGCAGCGGGGCTGTGCAGAGCGTGTCTGGTCGGGACATTTGCTCCAGGAGTTGTTAAAAAGCAGCTAATTGGTTTCAGAAGGGGCTCGTCTGTGCCGTGCTGCTGGAACACAATCCAATCAGTGCCGTTATTGATCCACCAGTGGAGCCTGCGGGGCAGACCGAGCCCACAGTGGGCTGAGAGCGAACACTGTTTAATTAGAGCGCTCTACGAAACACAGGCTATGACAAAGAAACGCTGATTCTTGAACAAACGGGAGCAATAAACAAGCTAATGCAGGATGAGGGAATATTTGCTGCTCACATACATTTTATATGATTATGAAACTTGCAATCTTCGAAGGAGCACTTATCAGCTGCCTTGAACGTCAAGGTTTAAAAAAAGATTTTGCACGATTTGTTACTACTAAAAATATGCAGTGGGGATGACTCTCAGCTACTACCACACTAAACTCAAGCTCAGCATCTAGACAACTGACTGAGTTATAGCCATGTTGATAAGGTCAGTTAGTTGCGGCAGCCATCTTTATTTGGGTTAACTCTAAATGTGAATCATTGTTTAGATAGCTGAGTTGTTGCATGAATCAAATGTGAAAAACAAAAAGAGGAGCTCCTTCTGTTACAGGATGTCTAATGAAGTCAAGGTAACGCAGAACATTTCTCATTTTTTTTAATGGATCACAATCTTGTGTCAACATTTGCTCAGAGAATCACACTGAGGTTAAACAGGTACTGGTCAGAGAGTTCAGGACCAGAAAGACCAAAACTTCACTATTTCTCTGCTTTCAGTAGAAGATTCAAGGATGCAGAAGAGTGTGAGCTACTTAAAGTCCGCTGTCAGATTAAATCCAGCGAGAGAAACTTCAGAGGATTCTGCACCGACTCACATGAGCGAGGGATGCATTAATGCTGAAGATCTGGGTTGTGTAACATAGGTTAAAAACTGTTCCAGCTCAAACCTTCGCGTGATGACGAGACATAACTTGGATGAGTAATACATGAGTCACGTACCTGAGCTGCTTTACTCACAGAAATATTAAACATTGTTTAAATGATCATAGATGTGATGCAGTCAAATCAAAAAGGAGAAAACAACGACACTTTGATGCTTTTTAAAACCAAGTAACACGACATTTAATAGTAGGGCCTAATTTTTACGTTTAACTGTAAGTAATGTAAGGCTTGAATATTAGAAATTCCTGCATTTGGTAAAATGCAGTGTTGTATAAAGTACCACAAAGTGATACTTGAGTAAAAGTACAAGTATCTTACCAAACAATTACTTTGGTAAAAATTAAAGTCTCCTTTAGGAATATTATTTGAGTAAAAGTCTTAAAGTATCTGATATTTTTTGTACTTAAGTATTAAAAGTAAGTATTAAGTAAAATGAGCAGTTAGATTTTCTGTAATGACATTTATTAGGAGGTGACCTCCCCAAAAAATGCAGAAATAACTGTCGTATTAAAATAATTAATTTATGTTAAATTTAGGATGCACTAGTCCAGCTGTTTCAGTCATATATATATATATATATATACAGTGGTTTGCAAAAGTATTCATACCCCTTGAACTTTTCCATATTTTGTCACCACAAACATAAATATATTTCACTGGAATTTAATGCGAAAGACCAACACAAAGTGGTATACAATTGTGAAGTGGAAGCAAAATTTTACATGAATCAAAACATTTTTTACAAATAAATATATATGACTGAAACAGCTGGACTAGTGCATCCTATATCAAACCTTTTCCCCAAAATGAAAATCTATCTGAAAGCTGCAGCAAAATACAATAACATAATTCATGAAATACAAATACTTCTTAAGTACAGAAGTACAGTCCTTTAATTTTAATGATTATATCCTGCTGGAGTGTGACATGATTCGTTTGTGTACAAACTAATACGGTATCAGAGTTTTATATATTTATACTACTCATTCAACCGCAATACATTTTTTTCTTTATTTGTTTCTTTAAAAGAATAACAAAATAAATTTATATACAATTAAAATAGAATAAATTCACTCTATCTAGGAGGCACAGTTTATATGGATAGTACTTAATTTTACAATAACAATCTGGTATGAAAACAAGCAAAAATAAAAGTAACAACTTTCTACTTCTTGCCTTTTTTTAAAAAATGTAAGAAGTAGTATTTGTACTATTATTGTATTTGAAGAAGTATTTGTACTTAGTTACTTTACAACTCTGGTAAAATATATACAAAAAACTAGTGTTGCTGACCAGTAGTACCACAGAGTTAAATAACACTAGAGTGAGCCCCGCCTATCCCATCCACTGTTAGCATCTGTGACAACGTGGAGGAGCAAAGATGGCGACCACATGCCAGCAAGCCCAACTAATAAAGTATTGACTAACCATCTCCTCAACAGGTCAGGTTTTTCTTATATAAACTTAAAAATAGTCAAATACTGTAACTATCATTTTAAATATTACATAAATCAGAGAAAAAAATCTCGCTTGTAATATTTAATAATTTGTGCTAAATTGAAGCATGATTCAGCAGAGTGCTACACTCTGTACAGCAGGGCTACTCAACTGGCGGCCCGCGGGTCACATCCGGCCCACGAGTGACCAAAGTTCGGCCCCCCAATTGGTTCATTCATCTCTTAAGTCCCCCCCCACCCTGGTTTTCTACTTTAATTACTCTGTTATTGTAGCTAGACATAGACATGTTTGGTATCTACAGAAACGTTAGAATCTTGTCTACAAGCTGGTAAATGAACATCCAAGACAGTTAAAACTGCAAGCAGTTGAAGATCAAACTATGAAAGGGAAAATTAAATTGTTTTAAAAGTTTGGCAAGTCAGAGCTGTCAAAAATAATATTTGTGGTAAATAAGAGGCATAATGTGCTATTTTTGTTTTTGTTGTTTTATTATCACAAATTTTATGACATAGGGTTCTGTATGTTGTATTCATAATTAAATGCAGCAAAATAGTTGAATAGCCCTGCTGTATAGCAATATATGCTACCAAAACTAATTCTTGCTAGCCAATTTAATAAATAACAGTGATTACATCAGCTTTATAAACTAATTTTAATTTTAATCTGGTACATTAATAGTTTCAGCTCTGGTCAGATCACATCCACAATGAGGTAAATAAGATAAAATTTGTTTACTTGTAAAATGATACAAGTTTTCCTGTTTCCTGTTGGTAAATCCATAACACACACAGCTTTCTGACATTTTTATAGGCATTAAATATTTTATACACATTAATAAATTAATAATATTTTTGGTAGTATTATCATTAATAGCTTTTACATAATCAGTCCTTATGGTTTAGTCTTTTACGAACTAAATTAAATAAATCCAGACTCTTGCTGGTTCTGGTCAGCGCTGCCGCCGCTACAGTAGATCAGAGTCACGTGACCAAATTTAACTCCAGCTGTTACATAAAGCTCCATGAGTACTACAGATTAGAAGTGCAGCCTTTGATTATTCTAATTCAATTAAATTTGTTTGCAAGGCAGTAAGCAGGACTAGTCAACCATCAAGCTGCAGGCGGACTCTATTATTGTAATAAAAAACGACTGGTTCAGATTGTGACTGCAGAAAATTGCTCTTAATTCAATAACCGTCGTCTGTTTCGGGAGAAACACTGAGTTCGAGGAAAGGTTTGGCCCAGAAAAACAAAATGAACTCATATCTTTTCCAACAGACACAAGACATCTATTAAACCTCAGCAGAGACAGACAAAAGATCCAGCCTGCTGTTAAATAAATTACATTAGAAAAGTTTCTTTTTTTTTCTTCATCTTAGGTTTGTGCAGAAGCCATAAAGCCACTGTGTGTCTTCTGAATCAAAGTGAAATATATATTTTACAGCAGTGGCTACTTTTTTTTTTTTTTGGTTTGCGATGTGTGAAGTTTGGCACAAGTTCACAGACTTCAAACACTTTACATGCTGGGCTTCAAGTAGCTCAATCTTATTAAAAAAGCATCTCATATGGGTCACTGACTATTCCAGGGTTTTTTACTCGTGGAGGCTTGTAACAAGCAAAACTCCAGAGGCCAACATGTCATTTTATTTAAATGCAAGAATCTCTACTTGACTTCTGCTTGTGACTTTATATTTTCTTGTTGAAGCGGCCCAGAATTTAAAAAAAAGCCACCCATGATATCAAAGAAAGAGAAAACGTGTTTTCTCATGTCTCTTTCAGTGTTTACATTGTTGTGTTATTTTTTAAGACCAGCTGGGACCTTGGTTCTCTCCACCATCAGTCCTCATTAGGCACAGGAACACCTGAGCTAACCCACAGTGGCACGGCACGCTGTGGGCTGGATGACCCGTCGGCCTGGAAACAGCCTCTCATTGATCACTCAGATGTGTGTCCACGGCGGGCAGGAGGCCGGGCACCAGCTGCTGCTTCACCAAACAAAATGGACCAAAATCACACAAAGTGTCTGAAAGCAGATGAGCTCAGATTTAGATGCTGTTTGGATGTCTTGTTGCTAAGCTTAACAGACACTTGTGTCTGATCACAACGACGAGTTTATCACAAAACAGGGAGAAGCTGTGACAAGTTAACAAAGCACTAAACATTGACAAGGTTCTTATGTATTATAGTTCTCAAGACCGTTGTTTGAGAATCTCTCTTTTTTTGTTTTAAACATCAAAACATCTGTAAATTGACTCTAATTTGTTGTGTTTCTGTTTCATTTATTCTAAGGTAAAATGATTAGATGTGGAATGTGGATTTTTTTTCACTTCATTTGCTTCACAGTGCCTATTTCAGGGTTCCTAAGGCTTAAGGCAAGTTAAATTTAAGACTTTAAGACCTCTTTAATGCCACTTGGTTAGTTAAATTTAAGACCAACTTCACAATAAACACAAATGATTAAAATTAAAAAAAAAATAACAATTTTACCCAAATGTTTATTTTAACACAAAAAAACTTAACTGAGAGAATCATTCGGTAAACAATTTTAAAAAATTATAAATGTTACCAATTACTTTAATATTTGAGAGAAATTACAATCATCCTACTTTCATTGTGTTAACGTTTTTAAGACATCTAAAAAATTGATTTACGACATTTTAAGGCTAATTAATGCCTTATTTTTGGATTGATGAATTCAATGCTTTTAAGACTCTTCAAGGATCTGCGGGAACCCTGTTATTTGCAAACAGTTTTGACTTTTAATATCATAATCTTTTTATCTTTATTCTTTTAGTCAGAATCTTACTAATTCTTTACATCCAAATGCAAGTCCTTTTAAAAATGTATATCTTTATACACATGCCTGTATATACTGTACTTGCTTATTAAACAGATAAAGCTGCAATTTGCTTGACAATATTACAAATAATACACACTCGTTGGCCACTTTATTAGATAGACCAGTTCAGCTGCTTTTTAACACAAATAGTAGCAACTAAACCCTTTTAGGCATCAAGTCTTGGTGAAGAGAACTTCTCTAAAGTTCACACAGAGCAACAGGATGTGGCAGAAAGGGGATTTGCGTATCGTTGAACAAGGCATGGATGTATTTCAATAACAGCTGATCATCTGGGAAGTTTTAAGCACAACCACCTCTAGAGTTTACAGGTAATGGTATAAAGAAGATACAATCTCCCCTGAGTGCAAGTTGTGTGGATTAAAATGCCTTGTTGTCGTCAGAGGGCAGAGGAAAATGAGCAGACTGGTTTGAGATGATAGGAAGGCAACAGAAGCTGAGATAACTGCTCGATAAAAACATTAGACAATAAGAGACATCAATGTGGATAAAAAATGTCAGGATTGTTTCCTTGTTAAATCTTTGCCACATAGAACTTTGGAAGTTCTGAAGGCAAAAGGGGGTCCAACTCAGTCTTAGCATGTTGGACCTAATAAAGCAGCCGTTGAGTGTCACAAACAAGGATTATTAGCATGCCTTATTTTATTTTATGGAAGTGGAATATCTAAAGCAGAGGTTCTCAAACTGGGGTCCCAGGACCACCAGGGGTCCACGAGAGATATCTTGGGGGGTCCTCAAAAAATTTCACTAAATTGTTAATTTGGTATTTATTTTTAAAAATGCATGGGGAACAATGAACTAATAAAACAAACATAATAACCTTAATATATATATATATTCCCATAGCATTTAGGGGTTGAAATGACAATAAATTATCTTTTAGAACAGCATGGGGTTTATGGGAGGATCCCTGGAATTTTTTCACCCTTGAAAGGGGTCCCCAGACCCACATGGCTTGAGAACCCCTGATCTATATAAGTGACGGTGATTATGTACATATTTTCCGTATGATCAGTGAAAACAAAACACCCGACTCATCAACTTTCTTTTGTCCACATTCATCCAGAGCTGCAAAACACTAAAACCTAATTTTATACTTTTCAATACTGAGCTGGAGCACTTCAATGAGAATGTTATGTTAAATTTAAAAAAAAATGTGTTGAATCAATGCAGAATAAACAAGAATCTTGTTTAAGCAGTAAAAACACAAGGATGGAGTTAATTAAACTTTAACTTATTAGGATCATATTAGGATGAAGAGTTACACCTTAGAGCAAAAGAAAAAAGGAACCACAAGCAATAGAAACTAGTGAGGAACTCACCATGTAGTGCAGGTCATCGAAGCCGTTGAGCAGCAGCTTGCTCTCGTACTGCGGCAGCCCCACGTGCTCCAGCCAGTCCCCCACAGGCTGGTCCAGCAGCCGGCCCGCAGCACCTGCTGACAGGGGAAAGCGCTTCAGGAGGGAGAAACCTTTCAGCCGGTAGCAGCGGCACTCTGAGGACGACAGGTGGCATTGCCACATTACTCTCGGCCAGCAGAGCCGAGCGCAGCGGCAGCAGGAGGGCGGTGAAGACAGTGTCCTCTGTGGTCAGGGCGTCAGCTCCCGCAGGCCTGCGGGGGCTGAACCACGGTCACTGGAAACGGTGTAATCCACCCTCTGGTTCACGTAGATCACCAGCAAACTGCCTCTCTAATGAAAATCTAATGTTTTCAACCAGGAACAAAAGTCTGAAGGTCCCATGTTAAGAGCAAAAACAAACAAAGCTCCAGCCTCCACTCAGAAACATGTGCAACAGTCTGTAACTTCAGGGGAATCCTTTTAGTGACGATGGGTCAGGAAAGGGCAAAGTTTGCTTGTTCATTATTTCAGAAGTCCAACTTCTGTTCACACATTCAACTTATCCTAAAAATCTAAATATGACTCACATCTGAGCTGTAGCAGCACCGAAGCTGTGCGGTGAGTTAGAGAAACCAAAGGAAACCTGTGACATGACTGTACCGAGCCGAGGCTGGACGCAGATCTGTCAGCAGGCACCGGCTACAAAAACTACACAAACATCTTCTTTTCTGCCATGGAACCCAGTAAACACAGTGATCACTACCTGAATCTAAAACTTAACTTGGTGGACAGCAAACATCCTAAGCTGTAACATTATTTAAATCCAACATGCATGTCCAAAAGTCCCCTGTCCTCTTCCGGTCCTTCACCCAACACCTCCAGCCCTGTTCTGGTTGAGAATCCCATTTAAATGATCCATCTCCACAACTCTGGAAGTTTTTAGCAAGAAAAATGACAAGAAGTAAGAAACCAATGGATCCTACTTCAAAAGCAGCTCTTGTGCAGAAAGTGGTGCTGAAATCAGCCAAGATGTGGTCAGCTGTGGCCTTTTTCCTGCACAAATATGATCCCAACTCTCTGCACAGAACAGACCATCCAGTCCTGCGTGTGGAAGTGGAGTCCTTCTTTTGTCCTGTCCGTTCACCAGCCTGCTGCTCCCCTCTCCTCCCTCCCTCTCTCTACTTCCATGCGCTCCTTCGCTCCCCCCACTCTCTCTGAAATACTGCAGGTGGCTGCTCTTTGTCATTTAAAACTCCCATTTCCAGCGCGTGACTCCGCCTCCCGAGCTCTCCTCGCTCGCATTTCAATTCCTGAAACATCTCCATTTCCGTTCTTTTTTTCTTTTCTTTTTCCTTTAGGCTTCCCGTCCACCTGCCACGTATTTTTTTTCTCTCTCTCCCCACGCTGACGAAGAAGTCAATCAGCAAAAGAGCTGAAAATTCAAGAGACTGCAAGCCAATCAAGTCCAGGAATCATTGGCAAACGCTAAAGCAATCAAAGAGAGGAGGGAGGGGGGAAAGTGACGCAGCTTCTCGTGAGCAAAATGAATAAATAAATAAATAAAGGGTGGCTTTTCTGCTTTCTGAGAGCAGCAGCGTGCAGATGAAGCAGCGGGCCAAGACAGAAAGACTGCTCTAAACTATAAAGTAAAACACGGTAAACCCCTGTCATGCGTTGTGGCTCTCATTAAATCAGAGACCCGTGGAGGGACAGAGGATGTGCTGCATTGTTTAAATCTATTAGAAAGCAGCTAAAGCAAGAGTGAAGGTGAATGCTGAGCGCCGTGAGACGGGAACGCTGACGGGAAGCAGTCGATTGTTCGGGGCAACAGTGCCCGAGTTCCATCCATCAATCAGGGTGACAGGCTTTAGAAAAGCCAGAGGAGCAGGTACACAATCCTTACAAGCAGCAACTAATGCAATCCAGTGTCTTTTAGACTCAGTTTATCCTTAAAACAAAGATAAAAGTACCTTCTGATGAAGTTGGAGGACCACAGGTGTGGTGTAAGATCAGTGAAAAAAGAAGCAGAAGTCTTTATCGCTTCAGATAAAGGTTTATTTCAAATATCTGAGCTTGAGGGAGGTATCTCACCGGGCTGCTCCTGCCGGAGACTCGCTGGTGAGCCACATCAGTTAGGAAGAGAGTCTTCAAACTGTCTCAAAACATTTGCACGGTTTTCAATTTCCTCGCATCTTGACAATTTAATTTGAAACAATCTGACAAAATAAATAAATAAATAAATAAAACATGACATTTTTTCCTTTCAAAATAGTCAAATTTGTCGCAGGCATCTAAAAGCCTTCTAACTTTAGTTTCCGTATATTTTAGAGCACTAGAGTTGTATTTTGACATGGTTACAGGAGCGCTTCTAAAAAAAAAAAAAAACCATCCAAGGCTCCAAATGTCTAAATGTAGAAAACTGAAGAAAAGATAAATTATAACAGATCCAAATCTTCTTTTCTCTAGTGTACTCCAATGATTAAAGCATAACTGTGAGTGGGAAGCAGTCAAAGTGGGTGCGAAGCGGGCTGAGGCAGGAACAAGGAGGTCCTCAAAATACTGTACATGTGAACTGCTTAAAATACAATTTGTAAGTGACATACACAATATACCACACACTGCTGTAATATGATAGAAAAGTATAAGATCTTAGACTTTGAAAACTGTCAAAGGTTCAGTGATTTAAATCTTGTTTTAAGGTTTTAAACAGACACGCTCCACCTTTAAACTCTTACTCAGAAGAACAGAACAGAATAAACACTAACTGTGTTGTAGCAGGACACAGAACAGAGTTTGGGTGAAAAGTCAATTAGAGGAGCACGCTTATGTTCAGAACCACCAGAACATTTCAGACTGTTACTCCATTTTAAAAAAGAAGCTTCAGGTTTGGCATACATTCATTCATAAATTAGATCTATTTCGACTAATTTAAAGTGTCATGTTTCTGTGTTTTGTTGGATTGTTTAAATCGACAGTTGTGTTTAGTTTGTGCACTTGCTTATAAACTGTTATTATTTTTTATCTGCCCAGGACAATAAAAGAAATGTAGCTGTTGTGTTTAATGCAAGCACATTCATATTCATGGGATAATTATTAATGTGCTTTGTCCTTTTAATTAAATTCATTAAAAATGAAATATGCTGTGTATTTAAAATATTGGCTGCTGAAAAGGCAACATGGCTGCTTTGTTGCACTTTTTTTACTTTCTTGGATTTTCTTTCCATTTGGAGTTGCATTCATAACCTTCAGCGGTCACAGCCCAGTAAAATACCACATGCACAGGCAGATTTAGGGTTTTCTACCAAGCTAGAAGACTTGCAGTATTTTATACACATAATTCAATAAAACAACTGTTATTTATTACAGAGGTGGGTAAATCTACAAAAATCAGGACTAAAAACTACCCAGTTCACAACTTTGTCGTCTTTCTACTTCCCCTTGTTCTTATTTCTTAGATTAAGCTAATAATTATTTCACCACACAGTCGGCTCAACTCTACCTTGCTGATCTCTGGAAGACTCGATGCCAGCTCCGATCAGAGTCATGATCTTCTCAATCTGAGGACAGAAAAGAAAGAAGAGATCAGCACCTGGAAGAGTCATTATTTCATTTTTCATCTTTCAGCAACAATACCAAAAAAAGAAAAGCCCTTTTACACTAAAGTCATTCCATAACCTCTCCAAACTCTCACAGTCCAGATGTTTAAAACAAATGTTTGAGATTTTTTTATTAGGTGGATGATCAGAACTTTAGCATCCATAAACTTGCAAAGCTCTAAAGCTTGGATCAAAACCCTTTCAAAGTCTATAAAACAAATTAATGGAAGCTTCATTTGTTCATCTTTCACTAGAAAATTTGTAAACCAAAATATATGAATAAATATAATTTTATTAATAACATTTACAGGCATCAAGTCAAGCGTTGATCAATCCGTATCAAGGTCACTGAGGACACAAACTAAAATCTGCTGCTGTGAATCAGCAGGAAGGAATTTTTTATAAATTCCTTGAAACTCTCATATTTATGACTAAAATCTATCTAGAGGAGAGCATCTGAATATTTCAGCTTAATAGAAATTTTAGATATGAAATTTTTGAGAAGTCATAAAAAGATCAAGAAGTTTTGTTGAGAAAGAAGCATGGAATGACCCTCCTCCAGAAAAATAAATACATAAAAAAGTGACAAAAATCATAGGCTCGCCTGCAAAAAAGTAGAGAATTATTCGGATTAAATGAAGAAGAAGTGACTACACCATCCATCCATCCATCCATCCATCCATTAGCCCAGTACATAGTATGTGACTCAGAACATCAAACTAAGGATTAAGTCAAATTTAGTCAAAATGACTCAAACAGATTTTCAGACTCCTGACATTTTAAGATACATTTTGATACCTGGATCATCCAGAGATGTCTTGATTTGTCTTTATCAGGATAACCCACTGATATTTAGTCTGAATCCTGTTTTTAGATTATTCTAAAGGATGTGTCTTTTTATGTCATTTTAATTAGGAAACCTCAAACAGTTTTTGGAAATTAAGATTTACCAGCTTGAAAGAAAAAAAATTAAACTACATTATGATAAATTGAACCCAAGTTACAAAAATGTATGCCTTTTCTGCTTAAAATCATGATTTTTTAAATACCCCTCAAAAAGGGTTTCAAATGGATTCCACAAGATTTCATTTCAATGACCTGCAGATAAGGTATTTATTCATTATACTTTAACAAAATGCAGTCATTACATATGTTTTGACACTATAGCTGCTTTTTTTTCTTTTCTTTTTGACCACTTTGTGACTTAATCCTTGGTTCGATGTGATGGGTCACATACACAAACATACATAAAGAGACACAAACTCTCTAAAAATGGTGTAGAATTTTTTTCTTGACCAAACATGCAGGTTTTTTATTGACAGAAATTAGTCCCGTGATGAAACCCCCCACAGAGAGCATGCACTATTTGGAAAGGCTGCTTAAGCATTGGAAACATGGAAAACTGTGCAACTCTTCCCTTCACGGTAGGCAAGACAAGAGAAGTTTAGTTATACAGCAAATTTCAGTAACAAGACAATTCAAAGTGATTTACATGGCAAACAGTAATACAATCATTACAGGGTTTATATTTGAGTAGTCACGGTTAAATGGGCTGCAGGTAAAACTACGGTTCACCTGCAGGAACAGTGTGTTTCAGTATAAAAGCCATTGTTTAACAGTAATTTGAGGCTCTTTAGGGAAAGCACACAGAAAGCATGAGAGGGAACCCAGATACTCGTGTTTCCAGGAATAAATTCATGCATCACAACTGAATGCATCTGAGTATCAACAGTGTGTCGTCTCCAAGCGTTGCCACAGATTTCCACATGCCACACACATGCACAGCCAAACTTCTTGAAACACAATGCAGCAGTTTCCTCAGAATGCAGCAATCCAAGCACTGGACCAAGTAGTGTAATTATTGCTCTTGTATGAGCACAGGAAGGTTTGAGTGCTGCTGAGTTTATAGGAACATAAGAGAGAAACTGAGAGTAAAGCTGTGACTGCTGTCAGGTACAGTCACTTGGAGTCTTTTGAGTAAAGAAGCTTTTTTTTTTACCGTCCTTCCTCTAGAGCAAAAGTCCTGGCTTTGGTTCAACATCCCCAGACAGGTCCCCATTAGTATAATTAGATGTGCAATGAGTCTACACTTGTTCAGCATCAATCAGTACAGAAATGTTAAATAATAAAATGGTGTCTAACTCAAAGAGAAATGTAACCTCCCCTAAAAAAAGCTTCATCTATTCATGAAAGCTGATGAGATATCTAAAGGAATAGATGACCATTTCAAAGCCACCCACGAAACCTAAAAAGACCCAAATACACCTCTAACAAAGATCGCCCCAGAGGAGGACAGAGTCAAAGCCCAAAAACAGGGAGCAGGGATTCAGATGAACGTGGACGTCTTACGCTGTCGGTGGAACTAGATCTTCGATGTTTTGGGGAGGAGGAAGTCGTCTGTGTCTGCTGGAAGAGAATTTAGAGCTTTGATATGACTTGTGTGACTATGACTGAAGCAAAGACACTCTTTAGTTTTTCCTTTTCAACAGTTCAACACCTGGACTCCTCTGTTAAGAAGCCATGCTGTTGTAAAAGATGATGTACGCAGTTTAACATTGCCTTGCTGAAATATGCAAGACCTTCACTAACAAAAGACATCGTCTGGATTGGAGAATATGTTGTTTTTCTACATTGATGGTGCTTTTCCAGATGAGTAAACTGACCATACAACAGGCCATTAAAGGGATCCATGATTAGTTGTAACATTAGACTTTATTTGATAAACATTTATTTTAACTGTAAAATAAAGACTGTAAAAATACTGTAGGCTGTTTAGTTTTTATAATTTTAAACTAAAAATTAAAAAATATATTACACGGACGGGGCCATTTTTTACACGCAAAGCATTCTGGATAAATGATGACATCAACAGGTCCTCAGTGAGAGGCTGCCTTCTCCTCTCTGTCAACGCTCTCTGGTTTCATTTAAAAGAGTCAATCGTCAGATATTGTCCAAGATTAACCTTCGGGTGGATATAGCTCACTAGCAGCCACACACCGAC